ACCTCCTACCTCATTGAGGACTATCTCTACCTCTCTACATCCCTCGATTTCGAGTACATCTCCAGCGATCCACTCTCGCGCGAGTGATGCTACTCTGAACGCCGACCGACCTTTGGTTCCACCACAAGACTCTGCCTTGGGATCACGACGACATTGAATACTACAAATCTGCAACCGGGTACTTTATCGATGATCACCCAGCTTCTCATTGGCCATCTACTTTCTCACGCATTTGGGGCACCCGGGGCTGGCAATTAGTGCTTTCTGCCACTCAGAGTTTTGATATTTGGACACAATGCGGGCGATATGAAACCGCTCTTCGTGTTGAAGAGGAACGCATTGCTGCTGAAGAAGCACGTTTCGCTGCCACCCAACAACTCGATGACAACCCTGTTCCCCGCAGAGGCCTAAAGAGACAGGCTGTGGACAACTTGGAACACCTCAACGTTCAGTACCAGGTGGAAGCTCTCCTACACAATTTTAAGCGTCTTGACGTTTCTAAGGTTCCAATGCTCCAGGGCCTACCCGCCCCACAACAAGAACAGCTCATCACTGGGGTCGTCCACACCCTCACTACATACCGCGAGGAGCTTCATCAGTCCTACCGACCAGACGATCCACCCGGCCATTCAACTGCGTCCTCTTCGGCCCCTCCTGACTACTTTCCTCCCACTGATCCCATCAGCGATGGCACTGGACTTCCGCTTCCTGTACCCGATTCAGCATCTATGTCACTGAACTCCACATCGACTGAATCTCAAAATACTTTATTTCCTTTGGATCGTCCTCATGATTGACAACAGCCTGCGATCTACATCGTTTCCCTATACTCCGGACCCTCTTCGCCTTGCTGTGAAAAGATCCTCACCTCACTCTCGCTTGGACGTTTTTCATTCGCTATTAATGCTTTTGCTATACACATTTTGCTGTTCTTTTCTGCAGCCATTGGCTCCGACTCACTTTCGCTTCTTTCCCTGTCCTGATTTCATCCCCGGGGCTTCGTGTACCTGAACCTTTGACACACACGATTCCCACATCTCGTACGTCATGGGGAGAAGTTCGTCAACCCTTTGAAACATTGGATATGGTGCCGGACCTCTCTACTGTCCGCTTTGAATTGGATGTCAGCTTGCTCGTCTACCAACCCCTGAACTACATTACAGTGACCCTAGACCGGCAACAGATTGACACCAAGGAGTACACCGTTCACGATCTCAAGGACGTGATCTACTCCCGCCTAGGCCAACATCGCTCGGCCTTCTGGATGGCCCTCCCTTCGACCGGTGATTCACGAGTATGGGAAGTCCCTCACACTTGTACCCTTGAAGACCTCGTCCTTTACTTTATCAATTCACGCCGGCTACGCCCACTTGGCCCCTCCACTGAATATCCCCGCGACTCTGTTCCTTTTCCCTATCGACCTCTCCATACAGTCGCTCCCCGTCTTCACGATGATGCCATTGGTCAACTTCGCCTCCCATTGACTGCCTATCAGACCTACCGTGAGATCCGTCAGTTCTCTTAGTCTCACCTTACCTTCGGCACGAACCTTAAAATCTTGCCTCCCTCCGGGGAGGCGTGTGTGTGTAACCCTTGGAGTCATAGGGATGCTTTTGCATTCTTTTATTTATTTGTTTTACCGCAGGGGGACCAGGCATCTTGCTGCTGACCTGGTCTAACAAAGCTAGGCAGCAAGATGGGATACTGGAGTTGGCCACTCCAGCGTACCTGCATTTTCCTTTTCCGCATGGCAAGAGGCTAAGCCAAGAACCTCTTTAGTTGCTGCAGACATGCACGGAACGCCGTCAACTTGTCGCCTCGTCGGTTCGTGGCCTTTAACTACAGGAACTCTGGTCCCCTTCACCTGGTTTTTCAGGATTTGGGTCTCTTAGGCTGGCGTGTGGCACCGCATTCACATCAGTACGCATATCCATGAGTGTGTTAACACCTGTCTCTAAGGTTTGTACCTGGTAAGTCTGCCGTAGGTTCCACTAGAAGGCTGGGTGCTACTAGTAGCTTCTGGCCTGACTACTAGGAGCCAAACTGAAACCAAAAACAGCGCGGGTCAAAAAAGACGCAGGGGGACCATCCATGTGCTGTGAGTGATGGTCCAACGAAGCGGCCACAGCATATGCGGATATCTGGCCTGATCAGCCAGACGTATCTGCCAAGATTGTCGGTTGAATAAGCTGTCTATTTCTGTGTTTTGCAGTAAGCGGCTAGTGCACTGAAACAAATTGTTAAACACCTTCAACTTTCCGGACTTCCTCGCCTTTCGGTTCGTGCACCTTTCAGTTTCTTCAAGTCAAGGGGGACTTCATTCCGATCCTAGCTCTTGCGAGCAACCATCTAAGTGTGCTCTCACACGTGCTATCATATGAATGGTATCTCATGTGTGTGTGTGCGTTCTCGTATTTTTGCTCTCATATGTATATATTTGTGTGCTCTCACATTGGTGAGCGCTGACTTGAAAAATGATAGCAAGAAAAAGGAAGCAAGAAAGGGTAGCGGGGGGACGAAAGGACCAGGCAAGCAAACAAACAGAAAATCAAAGGATATATAAAATCAGTTTTGAAAGGACATGTTGTATTTTGCTGGGTGTGTATATATATATATATGGGGGGGCTGACCTCCAAAGATTCTGGCTTTTCGTGACAGGCGCTTGGTAGAAGTAGCGAAGGTTCCCCAGTGCTGGATTGGGGGGAGGGCGCAGCACCATTGGCTGTTAGTTCCCGCAAAATGCATAGCGCAACTCTCGCAAGTTTTCGCAGAAAGCGCGAAACACCCCAAGACCTTGATTGACGCCTATGGATTGAATGATGAGATCAGGTTTTTCTTGTTGTATAATTAATGTTAGTTCTTCGTGTTGATCCTGTTCTTATTTGTTTATCTTGATCCTGTTCTTTGTTTCTTTATGCCTCGCAGGTTGAGGGCGTCTCCAGGTTGATTTATTTGAAGTATGGAATCTGATTGGTTCAAAACCTTTCAACATTAGGCCTAGGCGGCTAGGACGGCTAGGCCCTGGGTTTTTCAGGTCCTGAATTTTTGAATCAATCAATTCATCCACTCCATAGCTTCTTGGCCTGCTTCGAAGATCACTGGCTTGAACTCGTCTGGAACGCTTCCGTGCATAATGGGGCTGTCCCTGTCGAGGTGATCCAGAACTCCGGCAAAATGCATGTCATAAGAATTGAACTTGAACTCTTGAGTTCCTGTATGGGAACTAGCAACGAAAGTGGAGTCCCCCCTCCCTACCCAATGAGCCACCTCCCTTGATGCTGGTCGTTCAAAACAAAGCTTACATGATTAAACTCGCGCGCCACCCAAAACTCATCGTTGACATATTGACAACATTGACATATTGACATCGTTGTTTTCTTGCAGAATGCCATCAAACGGGAAACCGAAAACGCCACGAGGGCCTGTAGCGCTCCACATGCGACTCTTGTCCCTGGTGTGGACCACTCCAGCTCACTGAGCAGACCTGAAGCGCTTTGGCTCAGGGGAAAACACACTTTGTGACTTCCGGGCCTTGGCACTAGGCAGCACCCATTTGGTGAAGCCATCAAAAGTCTTCCAAAAATTATTGGCCTCAAAACTGAAAGCCGAAAGCACACTGGAGGCATGGCAACTCGGAGCAGAATCATTGTTATACAGCTATACACAGGCCTCAACCGCGTTGATGAGGTTCACAAAGGCATAGCCCAAACTGGCTTTGGAACGAAAGTCCTCAGTGCCAGTCACACAGCTCAGTCGAGGCCTGGGATGGTCGCGATTAAAAACCAGATTCGTTGCTGACAAAGGGCAATGGGAAGGTAAAGAAAGTCGTATTTTCCATGGAAGCCCTCCTTGTCCATCATCGCACAAACCTGATGAGGCAAGAAGTGCAACTCATCTCTTTGTCTCAGCTTAAGGCTTACGCCACATCAAACGAAGTTGGATGACCGATCACTCGTTTTGTACCGAGTCAGACATCCCAGCACAGGTCACAGAGTGTCTGAGGGAGCGACCATGTTTCGCGAGTAATTGTTCGGCAAATTCCGGAGCATCACAGTGGTCTCACCAACAAAAGCACCACTTCTAGGAGATTCCCCAACCGCACCGACCGCTTCAAGCAGCGAGACAGGTCGAGGCTCCTGATCTGAGAAACGACAGATTTATTTGTTCGTGCAATTGGCGCTTTCTTCATCTTGCTTCCATGGCGAGATTGTAAACACAGACTTTCAGCAATTGACATGCTCATGCAGAAGAAAAAGGGGCTTAAAATTCAAGACCCTATTTTGTCAAGACTCTGCAGCTGAGATCTTCTGCAGTAGCTCGTCCAAGGGCTGCCTGAATTGCAATCACAGCATGAATATCTCTGCAGCTGCGGCGAGCTGTTTGCTTTCAATGCTTGGAGACATCTTGATGCGCCTCACTCAAACCCAAACGCATTTCAAGACTTCAAGACCTCGTTTCCATTCATTCACGGCACTTTTGCATCTGGCCTCTCCAACGTGATGCCAGCTGCATCCAGCGCTTGTGAGGCTTGAGTCACTGCCAAGTTCATTGCTGCGTCCAGTGTCTCAGGTGAGGGCTCCCGCAGCCTGGTCCGCGATATTGTGCGACAGAAAGCAAACAAAACATATGACCATGGTCCACTGCCCATCAACCGGGATGAACCTGAGAATGAAGAATGCAGATTGTCCCCCGTGACAAATTGTTCGTCAGCTTCACTTTGTTTATCCAAGAATGTTGTAGTCGATCCCTCGCACCTCATCAGCACCAAACCTGGCCAACGGCGGTCGATGGCAACCCCAAGTGCGGCTGTCGATGGCTTCTTCCCGCCTTGCTCGGCATGTTCAGGTCTCTCGCAAGCGTCAGTATCCGTGTCGTCGGTTGAGACGGAGCTACGGCTCAGGCGCTCCTGGAGCGTTGACCAAGAGAGGCCTCCGCCCGGTTTAACCCAGAAGGCGAGCCACACCTGGGGAGTGGCCGCAAAGTCGGGGCTTTACGGCAGCGTCGTCTCAAAACACTCGAGAAGGCTATCTGAATGCAGAGATGCGACATACAAAAATTACACCAGCATAGACCCAGATAGCTAGGCAGAGTCCCACGACTTGTTGACATGCGACTGGCTGGAACAAGAATGTACACAGCTTGCGCAGCCACCTTACGGCACCTCCACGGCGCGCACAATCAGCTGACACCAGCACCGGTGCACTTTGCCAGGTGACAACACCGGCAGCGGCACCAGCACCAGCACCAGCAGCTCACAGCACCAGCACCCAGCACCGGCACCCAGCACCCAGCAACCTGTCTCGAAAGCGCGCACGGGCAACTCATTGTTATTTGAAGTAAGAACCCCATAGCTTCGCTATCTGGGGAAAAAATGACTTCAAAATGTCAGGCGCCAAGGAGGTTAGGAGGTTGGGGCAAAAGGCCGAAGCTTGAGCGCCAAGTGCCACGAGATGCTACCTTCGGAAACAGGAAGGTCAAGACCGGTCCTTCTTGTTCAGGCTTGACAGAAGAGGCTGCGGCTCTCTTGGAGCCATCTCCACCTCAAAAGCTTAGATAAGAAAGAGGCTGCGGATCTCGGATCTCGCAAATTATTGAGAATGTTTCATCCCTTCCCATCTTGTGCCGAAGTAACCTCACAAATGCCTGGTACTGTATGACGACAGCAAAATACAACATTTTGCCAAGGCTCCGGAGGTACCTTGGGAGGTGATGGCTGCTCCTGAACTCAGCACCACAGCTGACAGGTGTATATTATATATAATACATATATAAAGCTTCGGCTGATCAACCTTCCATCTTTTTCCACATCTGCGAGAGCGGCTCCACGAAAACCAAGGCCAACAGGCCTCTTCTCAACCCGCTGTCAAGAGCAGGGAGGGACTCAGGGCGGGTGCCCTTGAGAGTCAGGTTGCGGACTCTCAGCTTTACTGGAACAAAGCTTCGGCTGATCAACCTTCCATCTTTTTCCACATCTGCGAGAGCGGCTCCACGAAAACCAAGGCCAACAGGCCTCTTCTCAACCCAACTCTTCCCAAACGATCAGCCTAGGGCTTGTCTCTTGAAAGCAGCGGGTACCAAGCCATGCTTGGAATTTTTGCAATCTTCAACAACTCAACCTCCTTCAACAATGCAGGGAACAACCGTGCCAAGTCAAAAATACGTTGTCGTTGGTGCTGACTTAAACGAAGCAAGTATTGTATCGATCCAATCTCTTGGATATAAATCTCCATAACCTTGGAGTTTACCCACCTCCCTCTGCGTCGTACAAAATCTGGATCCTCAGTGGTTTGCAGCTGCCATGTCGCTCCGCCTGGGCGGAGCGACCCCACATCCAAGGATTTCACCCCTTGGCGGATTCCGGTTTGCAGATGCAACGCACTGAGGAGATCTTTGAAGCGCAACCTAAAAGTGTGAGCCGAAAAGGGCCACAACTTCTGAAAAGGTGCTTTGTCACGGAAGGCGAGCTCACATACTCTAACCGAATCACCAATATCAAGCTTCGCAGTTTGATGTCGCGCAGCAACAAAACGTGTTTTGGGCTCGGACAGCCCCAACAAGCAAAAGTCGTTCGACCTCAGTGTATCGGAGGGGAGAAGAAGATCTCGACGAACTGCACTCGTCATTTCTGATGTCCTCAACAATGCTCCCCAACCCAGCGACAGGATGCCTGCCACTTCATGCCAGCCCCATGCCAACGACACGGAGATCATGGCGAGAAGGATTTGCCACGGCATTGCAATGTGGTGAGTTGGTCTTTCTTCTCGAACCCATGCAAATGCCACGTCCCACGCAGGCTGTAGTTGCCTACGCAAAACAGGTTTGTAGGAAACAATGCTATTGATGGACTCAACAAACACCCCATATGGCCGACCAGCATCATACAACCTTCTTCCATAAAGTTGCAGCACTTCATTTATCTTCTCAAGATTCCTCGTTGGGAGATTTAGCCAGTCCTGAATTTCAAACCCAGCCCGCTGACACCAGTTAAAGAATTCCCTCAGCAGACGTTCTCGATTTCCCGTTGTTGCCGCAGTCACAGGTCGACCTTGAGGTAGTGGCGGTCTGTTCTGCCTAAGGGCTCTTCTGTGCCAGTCGCCTCGTGTCTGAGGCCCGATCATCCCATGGCTCGAAGTGAAACACGCCCCGAGGAAAAATGAGACTGCAACCAAGGAAGCGGAAGAAGGCAGAGAGAAGCAGGCAAGCCAGAGGAGAAGACGGCAAGAGGAGTAAGGACCTTCTCCAGGAAAGCCGCAAGTTGAGTCAAATTTCATGTTTGAAGACCTGAGAAGGCCATCAGGAGTGCGAGAGACGGGCCAAGACCACTGGAATCCATAGAACCTCCTGGAAGGGAGGTGAAATGAAAGTCCATGAAATCCACGAAGTCCAAAAATGAGCCTCACCCAGTTTGATGCCCACCTCCGTAGTCCAGGAACGGCCAACATAGCCTCAACATCTTTTGCTGACAGGCCATCAATCGAGTGCACTGAGAACGAACCACGAACCTCACGATCTCTGGTAGGATCATCAGACGTGTTCAAGCGAGTCGGCACATAGGGTAGGCTGAAGTATAGCCCGCCCGCCAGACAAAGGGCCCCATACTTCCTCAAGAAAGGGGTCAGGGCCTTGCTGGAAGATCTTCCCTTTGAAGCTGAACATCTGACCACGTTGGAGTCAACAAAATTGACAACTCTGCGTGATCTCCCCCTTCTCACAAGCTGCTCTGCTAGTCTGATGACACTCTTGAGTTCAAGGATGTTGATGTGCCGCTTGTTCTGAAAGGTCCAGGAATCAACTTTTCTCCACTGGCAGTCGGTTGCGATGGCATTGACGAGCTGGTTCTCCAACCCCTTCACACAACCCTCCTCCTCCTTTCGGATGAAATCCTGCCTGGCTCTGATGGCAGCTGCAAAACACTCCGCAATAGCGCTCGCAAGGCTGTAGGTGTAGGAGGCAGATGCCTTCGTGTACCTTCCTTCTACAGTGATATGGGAGTGAGTTCTGTCACACCTCTTCTGCAGCTTGTCTGTTCTCATCCAGACTGAAAGGAACCGAAAGCTCTTTTGATGCGGGGACCCAAAAGCACATGAGTCTGTTCGCACCGTAGCAGCTCCTTCCTTCTTTGCCAGGTTCTCCCAGGAGGGGAGGTATTGCATCATTGAGGTCCAAGGCTGTTCGGCCAAACCAGGAACAAAATAGTAGTGTGCCACCGTCAACAAATACAGTGCTCGAAGCGCAAGAGTGTTTCCAGTGAGAGTCTTTTCGCACCCACCATCGAAACCCAAAGGGCAGCTTCTAGATCGTAGGGGAGGCCTTCTGATTCGAGAAAACGTGGTGCAGACTGGCTCTACCATGATGCTGCCCAGGTTCCCTGAAGAAATAAGGAAGCTCAACCATGAAACAACTCTGATAAGTGTCATGTCAAGTTCATCACAGAAAGCAATGTCAATGGGCGGGCCCACAACAAAGTTCAAAGCCTCCATAGCTTGGGAAACCCTCGATGAGCCCGCATAAACCTCAATGAAGTCATAACGAAAAGCCAGCGGTCGATTTGGGCTTGCATGGCACATGTCACCCCCCTCCTCAACAATGTTCTGCACCCCAACATCTTCATGCATCCCGAGCCTTTCAATGAGTAGCTCATAAGCCGTCTTCAGCCTGGTGTAAGCCCCTTTTGATCTGCCTGATCTCCAGAGCTTCATGGCAATGTTCTCCGGGACAACGGTCGAGGTGATAGCTCCTTTTGAGTCGGAGGCGTCTGTAGAGTAGACCTGGTCATCAAACACAGCCCCCAAATCGGCCACCATCAGGGGAGCCAGAACCGCCAACATCACCATTTCATTTGCCACTGGCCGTGGCAATTGCACCAGGCGAGGGTGTGCAGAATCGATTTTGCCGGCGTCAACCAGACTGCGCGACTCTGCTAGTATACTCATCAAAGGCCTCTGGAACAACAGCATTGATGTCCATCCTCCTAGCAAGCAGAGGTGCAGAACATCCGTTGTGTGTGAAAGACTAGAACATTGGAGGGTGAGCCATGACAAACACAACCTCTTCGACAGCGGAGACCCCAAGGTTGCAACCCCATTCTTGGCAGCATGGTCGCCAGAATTTATTTCAGCTCCAATAACTTTACTGTGCTCCTCGCAAACAACATCTTTGTCAGGAGACCCCAATATACCATGCTTCTTGTAGATCTCTTGGCTCTTCTGGAAGCAGGAAAAGGAAAGGGCCTTCTCTGAAGCCCTTCGCCGAGGCTCACGTGAAATTGCGAAATAATCATCAATCACCAAGCCCTGACATAGAGCACTCCCAGAGAAAGGTCGGCAAGAGACAATGCGCTCATCCTCCTGCAACAAACCGCCAGCTTGAAGAAGGTGCTCATGAGCTGACGTGGCTACTTCAACGCCTACATGATCTCCTTGGAAGAGAGCTCTAAAGCACACAAAAACTTCTCCGACAAGAAGAGGGGAATGGCGTGTCTCCCAAAAACCTCCTTCTCCGACGTGCAGCTGATCACCAACAATTTCACGCTTCCGCTTTTGCATCTTGGATGAGGCCCTCAGGAAATACTCATCATAGCACTTCAGACCTTTCAGATGATCAATCTCAACGGATGGGCCCACTGCGTTGCTGCGCACCTTCTCTTCTGATATCCAGAATTGGTGATAGAAATCTTTTCTGTCTGTGCAGCTTATCCTCAAAGTCTCTGAAGGGACCTTGAGGTGTAGGTCCAACAAGTCGGACCCAGCAGGAAGCCAGCGGGATGGCCCTTGAAGTCGGCCCTCCTGATAGTTTCTTCCACGCCGGTCTCCTATCTGTCTGTCACAGCTCTGATCTTTGAGATTGTTGAAAACCTTTGTAAGGCTGTACTCCGGGACATCACAGTCACTGAGGAAGCATAATCCATTCCGATCCCAGACCCTTGCCAAAGCCTCAACTTCAGTAGTCGGATCCCTCACCACAGGATATTGTCCAGGAGAAGGAAGCAGCCCGGAAAGCAGCAGGTCTGGCACTCGGTAGGCCATGCACAAATCATCATCAAGGTGGTCAGTTGCATCAAAAGATCCACTGCCTGAAATCTTTAGCCTGCTCGCATTGAGGTCCCTGTACGGTTGAAGCTGTGGAATCGTCTCATTGTTCATAGGCACAGGACACCCAGGGTACATATGGCCATAGGGTCCGGCAGCGCCCAACATAGTAAGCTGATCAGACAGCTCACCAAGCCTTGCAACTAATTGGGGAAACTTTCGGCCACTGACCAGCATCTCAAAGGACCCAGAACCAAGGCCGTCGGCCGCTATAATGCTCTTCAATCGTCTGTAGATTGCCACATGAGCACGAGAAGGGCATCTCGCCGGGAGAGAAAGATTTGGAAAAGCTTTCAAGCCTCCATGCCAATAGTTGAGGGCCATGATGACAATATGAATCACCCGTTTCAAATGAACCCTTCGTCTGGCACGTAGACTCATCCCCAGCGGCATCCTGTCAAAAATGCCCACCTCAGGCAGGGGGACAGGGAAGAGCGGCGATGTCGAAGTCACATTGCTTCGACGCAGATGAAGTGTGGAAACCAAAAATGCAGCAAAAGGAGTTCTGCTCCTCAGTATCATTTTCACCAAGGAAGAGCACCACCGCCAAAAAGTCAAAACCTTTGGAACCCGTGCAGAGGAATGTAGTTTGAAGTCACCACCCTCCGTGTCAGGAACCTCATTGCCGTCTGTGATGAAGGTACTAGGCCCCCCATTGTGAATTCTATCAGGTGCAGGTGACGCGCTATCATCTCCGCACCTCATGCAGTCCTCCAAAACAGCTACTGGTTTGCCTCTGCGCCCGCCTTTGGGCGCTTCGGGTATCGGGGCTTCCTCTTTGGCGAACCCACAGGAGATCCATCTGCCCCTGGATCCTTTTGAGCAACCGCCGCCTTCTTCCCTGAGTCTGGCTTCTTGCTGGCCAGGACTTCGATGTCTTTGATATAGCTCAGCGTAGTTGCTGTCCATGTAGGGGGAATCAACGGACTGAAAGGGCGGCTTGTCGTTGAGACTTGCATTGATCTCTCCTGAAACAGCTGAATCGGTGGGTCCTCGTGTAAGCTCACCAAATAAGCAACTGCCCAGTCTCCGTTGTCGTAGTTTGCTTGCTCCACTGACATCGCCAACAAAGCAATGATCTCCTTCACTCCAGCAAAGTCGTCTTGAGCTGCCGCATCTACAGCATGTGCCAAGATCCATTGAATCAGACCAAGTGACTTCTGCTGCTTGTAGCCCCCTGCCTTCTCCAGATATTCGACCATCGACAGGTGCCCCAACTCGGCCTCTGACTTGGGAAGAGCCCTTCCAGGAGAGATCCTCTTGTGGATCTGTTGCATCATAAGCAGGAAAAAGTTTCCGCTCCTCGAGGCCAGCTCGGCCTGAAGCTTCTCCCTTCGCTGGACTCCCCTCATACTTGATGAGCTGCTGAAGCCTGATTGGAGCTCTGTAAGAGGGTCCCCCCCCTTGCTGTGCTAGATGTGCAACCAAAGCTGTAAGCGCAGTGCTCTGTTGAGACAATGCATTGACTATGTTGCCTGAATCTTGGCCAGCACGAAATCCATCTCCCCCCAAGAGAGCATTTGGTTCCTCTGGAGGAATGCCAGCCACCTTTGCCATGGAAGGCTGACCCAACTTCGTTCGTGGAGGTGGTCCCAAAAGCTGCAGAGTCTTTGCCATAGCAGGCTGAGGGCCGTCCACGGAACCAAGGCCTGCGGACAGATCCGGAAGCTTGTTTCTGTTGCCAGAGGAGGACCCGGAGACATTTTCGGCAGGCTGCCCCTGTACAGGTTGAGACTGCTCCAGGGCATCCTGCCTTGCCGACAGACGCTGTAGTTGATTGTTCAACATTGCGAGTTGCTCCATCAATACTGCATTGGTAACCCTCTTCGGGGCCACTCCTGCTTTCTTTGCTGCAACTGACTTTCCTTTGGCTGCAGGAACTTCTGGGTCTTCTTGAGCCGAGTAAAAACCAGCCAAAGGATCGGTTCTCTCGATGAGCCAAGCCCTGACACTCTCAATCAGGGCGTGAATTTGAGGAATGCAAGAAGTGTTGTCTGGATGGTAAGGCACGATCTCACTGTCCGCATCTGTGACAGGGTCGAACAGCCTTGCAAAATTCAAAAAATCATCATTGACATCCACAACGACCACTGGACCATTCATCCCGAGGGGGACCGGTGTGCCATCGTCAGACTCTTCCACCAAAGGAACGTCAAAATGCGTTCCCACTCCCAGCCAGGTAGGTGCCATCTCTAAGGAAGCCCCATCCGTCAGCCAAGACTCATCTAATACCCCATAGGGAATACATGCAAGAAAACCACCACCCCGAGGTAGGAGAGGTAGCACAAAAAGCTCTGTCACCACTTCAACCACTGGAGGCGAGAGGGTAGCCACCAAAAGTGAGAAGTCCTCTCGCAGCCCAGCAAACTTCACTTCGGACCGCTGCATTGGTACAGCGGAGGAACGTCAATCCCGAAGCTGGCACAACACACTTGAACCTCAGTGAGTGAAGCAAAACCTTGCCACACCGCAGGCTCAGAGTTTGGCACCTGAGAAGCAAGGAGGCTTCGGAGCTCTGTGATCTTTCGGACTCGGACTGCCCCGGAAATGCGGGAGTGGTAGAAGATGATCCACTGGGTATCGGACACTGAGATTGCTTCTCGTTGCAAGTACTCAGAATGGGTAGCGATCGCTGCCCAACACCAGAATCCAGCCTTCCACGCCCTCACAATTCTCTCCTTGGGGTCACCGGCCACGTTGGAGAGCTTCTGAGCTGCACTTGTTAGAAGGGCAGGCGGAATAGACTGAGGTCCGTCTTCAAACACCCTCCTGGAATCAAGCTCTACCGCAAAGGGCTGCTCAACTGAAGGCTCAACTATCTCCCAGCCAGCAATCGAGATGCAAGGAGCCGACGAAGACGTAGATGAAGATGAAGTCAAAGATGCACCCCTCTCGATTGCCACGCTCAGACGGGTCAACGCTGAAATGAGAGAATCAATGTCAGCTTTTGTCACCTGCTGGCTCATTCACCGTCTCTGTAGGCCGCAAGCCTAGCCCTCCTGTCAACAAGAAGATGCCGAGGGCGATCCACCTCCGACACTCCAGATTCCACCACAGGCGGGAAAAACCCACGACGAAGCACTGGATGGAGGTAGGAAAGCGCAAGAAATCCAAGGAGGAGAGCCAAAACAAATCCAAGGGAAATGCCGGTCAGCAGCCAAGGAAGACAGGAGCCTGAACAGTGGATGGGACAAGCGACCTTTGAAGAGAGGTCTGAAAAGGCGGTTGCAGTCTCGAGCGCCCACCTAACACCTGCTATCATGCCCTTGAGAGTCAGGTTGCGGACTCTCAGCTTTACTGGAACACATATATATATATATTATTATATGTATATATATATATATGTGTGTACAGTGTACAGTATACAGAAAGAAGCACAATTCCTACACATCACTCCTGGCTGGTGCTCATAGGGCTCACCTGCCGCTTAAAGCGTGACCAAATCACAGAGTCCTCGGTGCACAAGTCCAGTCCGTGAGTTGAGTGATAGCAATGCAGGTTGGTGATGTATTGGTCTGATTTGTCACAACCTGAAGGTGCTGGTATCTGATAGGTCTATCAGGGCATCAGTGGCCATCAGCTACCTGTTCTATAAGAATTTGGATTTCTGGAACATTAGCTGAGTCTTGCTTACTTCCAACTGCTGTCGCTTGACGAGAAGCTGAGTTGTACGTTGCTGGAAGACCTGTTGGAGTCGCGTCATCCTCCACTTCGATGAATGTCTTCTTGATGACAACTCTGTCGCCACCTGGCTCTTATCCCAACTGCGTGGACATTGATCACTGGTGCGCTCCATTTATGTTGCTCTTAACTTGGCCTTTTCTTTCCTTTCTGTCTGTCTTTCTTATTATTCCTTTTCTTCTTCTCTCTCCTTCCTATCTTTCTTTCATCCATTTCCGCCCATTTTCAAAACCCTTCCTCTATTGATCTTCCGTTCAACCCTTTTGAAGCCCTTTCGACACCTTCCATAGGAAGCGGCAATGTTGGCCCCATGGTCACTGTGCAGAGAATGGCTTCACAAAAGAAAAAGGAAGGCGGCCAGCCTGTCCAAGAAATTGGAGGCAAAGCTTGGAGGCTCTGATAAGTGAATTGTGAACCTGTTCCCTGTTGAATTGCCTCCTTGAGCCACGTCCAATCAAGCACTAACATTCGAGAGACGTGAACTCCACCTGCACTTTGGAATACTTTTGGAGGTTAAAGGCTTTTTGTGTCAACTTGAGCAATCTCAGGCTTCCTAGGCTTCAGTTGAAGCCCATCTGGCAAGATCCTTCGCAGTAAACCAACGGGCTTGGATGAACACATTCCTTGCCCGGAAAACCACTGGCTTTCTGCTTGTGGATTCATCAAACTTTTCTGCATTGGTCTCGCCATGCCATGTGTCCTGCACCTCAAGCTCTGCATCCGTGCGCTTTCAAAGAAACCTACAAAAAAGCAGAGAATGTTGTGTGTGATTCTTGAGGGCCCAAATAATGATCGTTTGCACAAAGCCAGAATCCGACGGCAGGCACCAAGTTGAAAGGTGGCAAGTATTTCTGTGGTCACAGTCTGTACTCCCAAGAAATGCAATCTCCGGCTTTAAGCAAGAAAAGCGTTACCCTCCCACGTGCGCTCCCGCCATCTCACTGCCCTGAATCACTGAATCTGATTCAGATGGTTCCCGGACGCTGCAAGCATGTGGCACTGGCGTTCTCGGATAGCTTGCATATGCACTTGGATCTTAAGTGCTAGCATTGGCATCGCCGTAGGAAAAAAGAAGAGAGAGAGAGAGAGAAACAGAGAAACAGAGAGAGAGAGAGATGGAGATGACCAGGAGAGAGGCAGTGATAAAAATGGAAGCTCAACAAGCTGTACAAGTAGCTCAAGTTTTCCCAGAGTGGTGATAACACACAATTTTTTGGCAGGACGTGGATGCTGCTAAAGCCGATGTGACTTGCAAACATACATGACATCTGAACTAAACATAAAACGAGGTTGGATCTCGTGTGACGAGCCCAATAGCCTCCAATGGATCACCGCCACATGCCTCTGGCGTAAGTCTAGAAAAGCTTTCAAAGGCTTTTCCAGAGATCAGGGAGAGTTGACAAAGATCTGCCAACTTTGCCTGCTGAGTGCAATCCAAGTGGCTGGCATGGTGGCAGATCTTTGGCCGGTTAAGAAGGATTGCAGAGATCATCCGAAAGAAGCACTTCTACAGCTCAACATGTTTTTGAATCAACATGAATGTATAAAGATTTAGCTTTCCTTCAGATCCTCTGAAAGCGCTGTGATTCAGCACTTGATCCAAGTACTTCGGCTCAGCCCTGCTCATAGCTACAGGCTGGCGATGGGCCCTGTGCCTGGAGCTATCAAAAACTGGCAACAAGACTCAGCGTCAATTGCAACAAGACTCAGCGTGCTTGTGACTTCACGTAGTGTCGTGCTTTTCTTCTCTTCATGACATGATAACAGTGCATACTGCTTTTCTTCCCTCCAGGTTGACAAGAACCCTTGCCTTGCGGATAGCCGTCACCACCTACAGTATGCAGTGTCGCAGTCTGCAACTAGACCCTACTCCTTGCAAGCAACCTATCATTGTCTTCTGTCCCTTTCTATTTTTCATTGCCTTGTCTGGAGCGACCTGTCAGGAACACATTACATACATCATGAAAGCAAATGGTAGGCCACTCCCGGCGACCAGGTCCATCAAGAGTGTAGTGAATATAAAGCTGAATCATCTTGATTGTCATATCGCCTGCCTCGAGCCGGTTGCGGCCTGTCGAGCACTGAGCAACAACTCTCGGTTGCTGTCTACATCTGTGAATATAAATATCCTTACCTTGTTCTTTCATTTTTGCTTAAACATGAATTTGCTTACTTCACTGTGCAACAAAGGTCTTGCTTTCCAAACACAAATAGGTTTGTCATGATTTGTCTATTCCCTATCTCCGTCTTGGGAATCTTCCACTTTGTTCTGTCCAAGATGTCGGTTTTCAAACAACAAATGTTCCGCTCGTAGACTGTTTCTTGAGGTGAGTAGAAGTGCATGGCCACATGAAAATGCCGCATGCCGGCCTATTGACAATGTTGCTGGCAACAGCCTGCATTCATTAGGATTCAAGGTTTTTGAGTCGATGATCAAACGCATTGCATTAAGGGTAGTCAACCAAGATACAAGCTGCCAGCTGAAGCATTTGACGCAGTCTCAAGTCTCATGAAATTGCAGCCCATACCGGTGACACTTGGCATGCCATCCTTTTCCTGCCACCATGCCTCTCGCTCACATAGCCGTCGGATGAACTGAAGTGCTGCTTGCACGGCCGGTAATGAAGGCCCCTGTCAAAGGTCCAGTTTAGGCAAAAAAAATCAAGTCGTCCCGTTTCAAGGCCTGTGGTACAAGTACATCTACCATGTACTTCCCAGAGGAGCACTTGTAGACTTGGACTGTCAACCTCAATGACGCGCAATGTGATTTGAGTACTGTAGAACTCTTTTGTGTGCGCCTTGCAAGCACTGTCTCCTCGCGCTCGCGCATAAATCCAAGGGCAGCACATGATGCCCATCTGATGTACAAGTGGCCGTGCTCGAACACGCCAGGGTGTGACGTTGTGCCACTGGCAAAGAATCGGAATTATAGAAATATATACACCATTGCTACTAGGAACAAGAAGCTACTAGGGGCTCCTGGCCTTACTACTAGGAGCAAGGACGCTACTAGGGGCTCCTGGCCTTACTGCTAGGAGCGAGAAGCTATTAGTTAAGTTTCCCTACAAATCGCCGCCTTTAGGGCAGCGGGGGGAGCTTCCTTGAAGAAGCCTGACCTATCCTGCGTCCAGTAGGTTGTAACTACTAGCTACCTTTAGCTACCTACCTACCTACCCACCTAGTAGCTACATCCACTCGCGGCCTACCCCCCAAAAAAAGAAAAAACTAAATTTCCTTCACTTGATCAACTTCCCAAACCCACTTCGCACCTCGTAGCCAAGGTCTCTTAGGTTTAGAAGAACTTCCGTCATCAAAACCGAGGCCTGAGTCTTGAGAGCGGTAGTCCACAGAGTTTTCACAAACCCAGCAAACCCAGCACAGCAAGAAAAGTTGCTGGGGCGCAGCCATGGGCTCACCATGGTGCCAGGTTGAACATTAGTAGCGTTCTTGCTCCTAGTAGTGATGCCAGGAGACCCTAGTAGCGTCCGATCGCTCCGCTCTTGAACTCACCGCACCTCCATCACTGCCTCTACACCTAGTCGCCATGGGCACTCTGGCGCCATTGAAGCCTTGCGTGGGGCCACTCCAAAGCTCAGGGACAGGGAATAATGCAAATATCCCTCCACGTGGGGTGAGTCATGTGAAGTGTGTGTGTGTGTGTGTGTGTGTCAACTCCTGTCTTTAAGGAATTTTAAAATGTGTACAAAGCAGGGGGCCAGCTGGTGTGATCCCCACCGAGGGGCGCGGTTTTTTGCACATGCCCTTAAGGGTGACCCTCCACTGAACATTCTGCTCTGCACTGAACCTCACTGGCTTAGCGTTGTGCTCGAAAGTGCCGATCGAATGCCGCAGGGCCTACTGAGTACCCCCACAGAATGTAATGTCACGCTGCTAAGTATTCATAGGCACTCGGCTAAGTACTCACCTTTCGGTTCTTTCTTTCCTGCTGTTGCTCTTCGTTTTCTAGGTCTTTTTCGTTTTCTAGAGGCTTTTTAGGTGTAACTGATGTTTTTTTGTCAAGGGAGCGCCGGTTTCGGCTTTTTGGTCAAGTGCCTTCGGGCCTGTGCTGGTCACCCCACCCCACCTGCACCCTTCCTTTCCTTGCCTTTTTCGTTTGCTTGGACTTTTCTTCAGGCTTGTTAGGTCGGCGCTTAGGCTCGTTTAGTCCACGCACGCCCAACCAACACCCCCGCACCCCCTGCACCCACTCCTTTCTCTTCTTTCCTTCTTTGCCATTTTCGCTTGTTTGTTTCTTTCCTTCAGGCTTGTTAGGTTGACTTCCAGGCTCGTTTAGTCAACGCACTTTACCCCCCCCTCCCGCAGAGCCAAAAGAGAGTGCGCCGACTCGGCTTTCTGTGTGTGTCAACTCCTGTCTCTAAGAATTTTAGAATGTGTACAAAGCAGGGGGGCCATCCCTCTCACCAGTGGTGGATGGCCACCGAAGAGGCCACTATTGAGGGCTCAAACGCACCTGCTGATCTAATTAGGGCAGCAGAAGGAAATGGTACTCGACACACTTGTGTGTCGGTGCCTTTCCTTCTGTTGTCCCTGTTCCAGTCCAATCTACCTGAGCGGTCTAAGACTAAAGTCCCGCTCCCTAACTATTGCACCTAATTGAGAGCCGCGAAGTAGTCAGTAGCTAGTTTTTGTTGAAACCTTCTGTTGATCGGATCCAGCATTTCTCGCCGTTCCCTCAAGTCAAGGGCTAAGTATTCAGTAACTAGAGTGCTAGATAGTCAGTAGCTAGTTTCTGGAACTTCGAAACTGATACAGCTCTTGCGAGCCCTTTTCAAAGTGTATCAGTTTTCGTACCATTGCGAGCACGAAAGTACAAGACACATGAGTTATAGAGGAAGGAAAAGGTGTTGAAGCATTGCTTTTCGTGTTGCTTTGATGCATGTGACCTGGCCCAGCATGCCAGAGCGGTCTGCCGACGCAGCTTTGTAGATCGGCGCAGCACGCTCCTCTGCGGGTTCAAGTGGCTGACACCCCTTTGATTAAAAAAAGTAGTAATTGCAAGTGTGTTCGATGCAGCATCCTTGATGTTCGAAAAGGCAGACTGCGACCGCTACTTCGGCTACTTGTGTTTGTGCTTTCTGTGAAAATAATCTCAGGGAACGATAGGTCTCTGAAAAAAACGACCACTAGCCAATCACTTCTAAGTAGTTTTGCAAACGTTCAGCGGAGGTGGAGTGACCAGGCCCTGTGACCAACCTTTCAAGGCACCATTGAAAAGTACAGAGGTGCTTGTCGTCTGCCTCACACCATGGTGGGCCATGCCCCTACAATCCGTGCGTCCACATTCCCACTTCGGATTGACTAATGTAACATGAGAAGCCGTACAAATTGGTCTCGTGCGGCAATGACCTTGCGCCGTGTCAATGTTGATGGGAACAACGAGGTGGATTTTCTTTTGATTCCAAAAAGTGTCCGCATCACAGGCAACTCTCCTGGTCAAAGTTCTTAGAGACATTCAGGACTTCCTGACTGCCAAGCCAAATCCGTGGTGAATGGGTAGACGGCTCATGGGTAAATGGACTCATGGAATATTCTGCAGCTGCAGCAAAACAAGGGCGGCAAGGCCAAGTCCTCATCATCGAACATCCGGAAAGCGTTTGCTGTACAAGGATCCTGCAAACCAGTTCGGAAAAACACGGAAAGCGGAGCAGCTGCATTTTATTGCTGGGTAGTCGGACCTCTTTTTTTCATGGCTTTAACGGTGTTGTACGTACACTACGCAGAAGACCACCTGCCCAAGTCGAACGGCAGAGAAAACAAGTATATAACATTACACTTGTCGGACCTAAGTCTGTCGGGCTTTTACGATGTTATACGCACATGACGCAAAAAGACTACCTGCCCAAGTCAAACGGCAAAGAAAAACAGCCAAGTGGACGAACATCGCCGCAAAAAAGTAAAATAACAGCAGCAAAGCCTTCAACATAGATCCCACAGCCCCAATCACTTCCAACATACCTCCACGAGAAGCCCCAACAGAGCCCCAACATTGGGCGAAACGTGCCAACATGGAGAAGGATATGCCCCAAGAATGCACCAAGATCGCCGAAGATTGGTGCAAACATGCCCCAAATTTGACTGCCCATTGGAGCAAGCTTTCGTAAGCAACAAAAAACGACAAAAAAACTGTCAAAGCCACCTTTCTTACACTTGTCGGACCTCATTTTCATGGATTTATGGCGTTTTAATTTACGCACAGTACGCAAAAAACCACCTGCCAAGTCAAACAAGGCAGAGAAAAAGCAGCCAAATGGACCAACATGGCCGCAAAACATAACAGCAGCAAAGCCTTCAACATAGCCCTGATCTAGACCCCACGGCCCCAATCACTTCCAACATACCTCCACGAGAAGCCTCAAGAGAGCCCCAACATTGGGTGAAATGTGCCAATATGGAAAAGGGTATGTCCCAAGAATGCACCAAGATCGCCGAAGATTGGCACAAACATGCCTCAAATTTGACCACCCACTGGAGCAAGCCCGCATAAGCAACAAAAACGACCAAAAATTGTCAAAACCAACTTTCTTACACTTGTCGGACCTCATTTTGCATGGTACATACTTTTCTATAGTGACTATAGTGCTTTACACACACTACGCAAAAGACCACCTGCCCAAGTCAAACCGCAGAGAAAAAGCAGCCAAGTGGACCAACATGGCCGCAAAACAAGTAGCATAACAGCAGCAAAGCCTTCAACATAGCCCTGATCTAGACCCCGCAGCCCCACTCACTTCCAACATACCTCCACGAGAAGCCTCAAGAGAGCCCCAACAT